ACAGCAGGCCCGGGGATCGAACCCCTGGACCCTGCACCTGCTTGCAGGCGCTTTAATCCACTGAGTTATTTGGCAGGCCCTAGAACAGTTTTGAATTTACTGAAAATTTTGAAGATGACACTGAAACCTCCTATATATAACTCTCTGTCTGTCCCATATACTCTTTAATGGGCTTCTCCTATTATTAACATCTTACATTAGGATACTACATTTGTTACAATATTGACCCATTCCTGGTGACTAAAGGTCTCACTGTATTCACAGGTCTTTCGTCTTTGCCTACAATCCTTCCTCTGTTGCCAGTCTCTGTCTGGGCTATCCCATGACCTTGGTTGTCACGTTTTCTTCATCTCTTCTTTGCTGTGATAGCTTCTTGGGCTTTCCTGGTTTTAGATAACTTGGAAAGTTTTGAGGAGTACTGCTTGTTTCTTAATGGGTTTGTCTGATGTTTTCCTCCTGATGAATGTAGAGGAAAAGGTCTGTGGTGGGAACACGCCACTGTCATCACAGCATCTAGGGGTACTTCTTGTGTAAGTGAGTTATCCCTTTTAGCCATGGGTGAGATAGCATTTGTCACTTCAACGCCATAAACTTAACTGTTTGTGCCCTATATTATCCCCTTTGGGAGAACTCTAGCATACATGCTGTGGAAGCGAGCACCGTAATGTTTGGGAGAAAGTCACTTCAATGCGGCTGCTACTTGAGGAGTGGAGAGCTAGTCATTCCGGAGGTAGCCTTGATTTTAAACCTCTGTGCCCTTCCTCTTATCTTACAGTACCCTCTCTAGATCTTCTTTGTGCTCTAAACTTCTAACCATTTCTGCAGTAACCTTTATAGCAAAAGTTCTCAAAAGGGCCATTTATCATCAAATACCTCTATTCCTCCCTGAACTTTGTCCGATCACATTCTCATCTTCTACTTCTCTCTTAGCGATTCCCCTTGTCATGGCTGAACCCAAGGATCCACTCTCGGTCTTCCTCTAATCTGACACTGCTGATCACCCCTTCCTCCTTAAAGCACAGTCTCTACTTCTCGAATGCAACTCTCCTTTTTTGTTTCTCTTTTCATAAAGTCCTTTCTGTGTTTTAGAATGCTTCTGAGCTTAACCCCTGGACTTCTTCTGTTTACTTACGGGAACCACTGCCTTGTAATGACCGTGTATAGACCAGTCACCCCCAATTTCTAGTCCGGCTCTCTCTCTCTCTTGCATCTCAACAGCCTGTTAGATACTTCAACTTAACATTCCAGAAACATTCAGTTAAAGACAAGCCCAGCCTTTATTTATTTAGGCCAAAATAGTACTGTTATACTTCTACTTTGCTTCACAAACCACATCTTGTCATTCAACGGTTGATATTTTGCCTCTGACTTTAAAGGCTGTGTGATCTTACCTTTTCTTATCACTGCCACCACAGCCATGGTCACGTCTGACCTTTGTTACTTTAGTGGTCACCTCTGTGGTCTCCCTACTACTGCCCTGGAGCTTCTCAAGTCTTTTTGCAGCACAACAGTCACCAAGGTTGTTCAGCAAATGAAGTGAATGATAATATTCTATACAGAACTCTCTGGAAACCTCCCAGCCTACTCAGGACAAGCATCAACTCTCTACACAGCTTCTCCGGCTTGCTTCACTACTTTACCCTCTTACTTGCTTGACTCCACATATACCATATCCTCCTTGTTCCTTCAGTATGCAAGGAACAATTTCCTGTAGGTAATCTTTTTCTTTTTCTTTTTTAGTATTTTTAGGACAGGGTCTACAGGGTCTCACTACATAGATCAGACTCATAGCGATTCTCCTGTTTTCAGCCTCCCGACCACGGGGATTACAGGCACATGCCATTGTGCCCAGTCTCCATCGCTGTCTCAGCGCACCCCGGGGGCGGGGCCGGCACTGCATGCTGGGGATTGAACGTTGGCCGCTGCACTCTGCCTAAGCAGACTCTTTAGCCCACTGAGCTATCTGGCCAGCCCCCTCTAGGTAATGTTGAGGTTTGCTTCTTTACTTGCTTCATGTTTTTGCTTAATTGTTACTCAGCCTGACTTCTCTTTTGAACTTGATACCCTCTCCCCAACTCCTTATGGCCTTTTCCTCTCTTGTTTTGACTTTTCTCTTTATAATTTATCCCCTCTCACACTCTCTATGATTGTTTATCATTCATTTAAAAACAAACTTCATAAGAGCAGGGTTGGGTTTTTGTTTTTGTTTTTGCATTATTTCATACTGACTCTCCTAGCATCTAAAATTGTACTTGGCACAGAACAGGTATTCTTTGATTATCAACTTCTGTATTCTGAATGAACTAATGAATGGCCAGATGTCTGTTAAACATCCAAAATTAGCCAGGCAAAGTAGTACAGGCCTGTAATCCTAGCACCTCAGAAAGCTGGAGCAGGAGGCTTGCAAGTCCCAGCCCAGCCAGCAGCTTACATGAAACCCTGCCTCTAAACAAAAAAATTAAAAAGGACTGAGGATAGAATTAGTGAGAATGCTTGGGTTCAAACCCCAGTACTACATAAAAAAATAGCTAAACTCTTGATGGGCCAAGTCTTAGACAAAGCCTTGTATTATATATAACAACAGGGTTGTTATAGAATAGTTGCACAGATTTACAAATTCAGGTTAGGTAACAGACCCACCAAATGCCTAACAATGTTAAATCATGAATACATAATTGACCAATCACCTAGATATGAAATTACTCAGCCTCGGAGTTGTCCTGTGAAGCACTGATATTGAGGAGAAAGTGTTCTTAAATTCTCTGCCAGAGGTAATTCATTTTAGGTTAGGTCCTTACCTTGGTCTAAGAGATACTTGAAAAATCATGCACAGTATTCCCTATCCCCAGTTAGGGATAGGAATCTTACTCAGGTGTGGAATCCAAAGTACACATGAGCCTAAGTATGGAAAACTATTTTGTTTCCTAGTAGGTTTTAATGCTTACGGGGGTATAGCTACCTTACACTTTGGAGTTTTGCTGCTGCTGCTGCTGCTGAATATCTGTTATCCTAACATTTCTTTTAAAAGGTTGATTTTTTGTTCGTGCTTTGTAGGAAGAAGATAGGCGTCTCTCTGTCCTCCACTACATTATCTAAAAATAA